ATTTCAACATTTAGCCTATCACACATCTTCCAAAATCCGCAAAATAGGGAAGTGGGCTGTCTGTTTATTTCAATTACATTTACACATTTTGTGTAGCTTTAAAGAGCCTATTTAGCCTGATGGTGGACCATCACTCAGAAGACACACTATCCTATCTTTATATCCTCCTGAGGCCCAGAACGTTTTTTTTTTTTTTTTTTCAAGTTTTTTTTTTTTTTCTTCTTCATGTAATCACATTTTTAAGAGCATAAGAAACAAATGGAAAAAAAGAAAATATATTTTATTCATATATTTGAAAATATATTTATAATAATTATTATTTGTTTAAATTACATTGATATCTGAATTTATGTAAAAACCTAGACTTTCAAACATCAAAATGTAATGTATTAATATGTATTCGAGTACAAAATTACATACAGCTAGCCTAAACATCGTTTCCTATTTTTTATTTATTTTTTTGCCTGGAAACGCAAAGAAATTCCAGGCAAAAAACACGCTTGCCTGTCGCGTGAAAAATAGGCGTCAGTTCTATTTCTAGCATGCACGCGTTTTCTGAAGTCACGTGTCACGCAGGCAGCGTGCAATAAAAACAGACACGCCACACAGCCAGTGTGTCTCCGGCCAGCGCGCGCGGCACCGCATCCGAGGATAAACGACTTCAAGCCGAATCTGTCCGAGCTCGTACGTCTCACACAATCAGAGAATGAAAATACGGGATATTTTACGGGAAAATACTAAAACGGGAAGACAGCGGGAAAAGAGCTAAAATATGTGAGAAACCCGGAAAAAACGGGAGGGTTGACAGCTATGTTCTAGTTTGCGGGAGTCCCGTGATTGGTTTTATTCTCCCGCACACACAAAGTGAGCGCATTACTCGGCCATCAGATCTAGTGCCAGGATAGGGTCGGGTCAAGCAGTGAATCTAAGCTCAAGCGAGTGTGTGTGTGTGTGTGTGTGTTGGACTGACTGCTGTGTTCCTCCTGTGTGCAGTGAGTCTGAGGTTCACAGCACTCGCCCGCAGGTGCGCAGCTCTCCAGCCGACAGCCGCTCATCATCCTCAGGGAAGCGCGGCGCCAAGAGGTGAGTGTGTGTATATGTGTGTGTGTGTGTGTGTGTGAACACACTAACTGACGCTGTCTCTCTCAGGGCCCCATGGCAGGACGCGTCAGGGGTTCAGGAGGACTGGAGTGACGAGGAGTCTCTGTTCGGCGCCGCTTCAGGTACACACACACACACACACACACACACACATGCAGCTGTAGGGCCAGACATGAGGAATTTAAATGTTTTTTTAATGATACGTTGAATCCGCCAGTATGAGTCATTGAATCATCCACTCGACTGATTCGCTCATAAGACTGATTCTTGTGTTGATGAATGATCAGGAATGAACTACTTTGTTTGCACAATACTGTTTCTGAAATATAACTGTCAATATCTCAGATGCAGTCCAGCACACTTACTCTATCATACAGAAAGATGAGGCATTTCCCCTTCATATAGTGATTATCAGGCTCAATCTAGCGGTGTCCTACTAAACTATGGCACTCGCCGGCTCGTTTACACACACAGCTCGTGTTTCGGACTGAATTCATGAATTATACCTGATCGTATCCCATATATAATCATGATGTCATGATTGGCGGTGCGTATGTCACACACACTTACGTTTCTGCTTCACGTTTGTGTCTGCAGGTCCATCCCACAAGAAGACCAAGAGGTACACCAGGAAGGTGCGTGTGTGTGTGTGTGTGTGTGTGTGTGTGTGTGTTTGAGATGTAGTGTCTTCCTCAGTGCATTACTCACATTTCACAGGTATATTCTCATCTAGAAACTCCTGCAAATATTTCCATTTGAGTGAGTGTCCGCTAAACTCAGGGAAATTTTCTCAGGGAAATCCAATCTCTTAACTAATGCTGTAAACTATGGGAGTCTAGTTGTAGCCTATAGGCTTCATTAGCCTAATATGAAGGTAATAATGAACTGTTTTGTAGCTATACAAACACTTAAATTACACTTTTATTTATTTTTATAATAAGAAGATTATATGAAATATAAACATTGAAATGGTGGCTGTCATAAAAACTTGCCAGATTTATTCAAATATGCATTAAATATTGAAGAACATTAAGATTATAATGCATATGTAATATGGTGTATATATTTAGCAAAATGCTCCTCTCTAGAGTTATTTTTTCTAGCTGACTAACGAGTTTATGTGGGTTTTCTGAGGTAAATATGACGATACATGACATTGATTACAAGCTGTTTAACTGACGTCTTTCCACGGTTGAAACACTGATTGAGCGAATCAATGTGACATGATCCGGATTTCGATAAGTTGTACTCTATCTTTAACACACTTTCAGATGCTCATTCATGTTTATTTGGCGCTGTGACTGGTATTATTAACCCGGAAGAGAGATCAGCGCTGCTGCTTCTCCAGAGTGATCTCACGCCACAGCGACAAAACGCTATTTATGTTTTTGAATTTCTGAAGAAAATGGACGTTATTTGAAAATTGAGACTTTGTTTCATATCAATAGTAACAAAGGACAAAGATTATTGCGATTTTTTTTTTTTTGGATGCGCGCAGCCGTGATATAATGATCCATTCATTCAAATGAAACAGGATGACTAATCGATTCTTGAGACTTAAGATTCGATATCGGTTTTTAAAAATGAGAATCGATTAATATCGAGAAATCTATCTATTACCCAGCCCTAATATATAGCATAGACCACATGGGTAAACTCTTATATAGGCTAGCTGTTGTCATAGCCTTCAAAGTGAACACTGTTTGTAGGACAACATGGGGCAGGATGTGAAATACATGGATTTATAAATACATACAGATTTTTTTAAATCCAAGTAGAAAATAGTATATATCACCATTCACCCGGAAATATCTGATTTTTGGGCCATATCGCCCAGCACTGAACACAAAATTGTCCCAATGCTGCCTTGTCGAGTATCACCGTAAACCGTCGTTTATGTGTTAAGGTAGCGTAAACATGTGAGAGATGAGATGTGTGTAAATACTGGATCAGTGAAGCTCTTAAAGTGACAGGCGCCTAATATCCCTGCTGCCGTCTGTTATCACATGCTAGTCAAACAAAATACAGACTTAATCTATATTTATACAGTCAAGATTGATGCATATTTCTGTACCTGAACATCAATTTACACCTTCATTAATTTGTGATATTCCTTGTACTTGGATTTTTTTGTTCTTATTTTATAACTGAATGTCTAACAATATTTCAAATGCAGTGTTTGGTGTCGTAACCTTATCTATTAACACGTTACATGGATCAAAAACATCTAAAATAATTACTAGACGTATTTATTACTTTTTTGTGTATGGGCCTATGAAAATGTTATCAGGACAAGTCAAAATGTCAACCACAGTAGGAAAAACCCGGTTATGTGTCATTGTTACAGTGTAATTATACATGTAAGAACTGAGTAACATTAATTAACAACATGTATGAGGGTTATTTGCATGTAATTATGCTTAATTACTGTTATTACTATTACTATGGTGTGTGTGTGTGTGTGTGTGTGTGTGTCACAGCTGTGGACGGTGCAGGAGTCGGACTGGCTGAAGGAGGGCGTGCGGCGCTTCGGCGTGGGACACTGGGAGCCGATCCGCTGCGCCTTCCCCTTCACGGGACGCACCGCCTGCAACCTGAAGGACCGCTGGAGGACCATGGTCAAGCTCAAGATGGTGTGACACACACACCTGCATTTTATAGCCATGTTCTTGTTCACAAACTGTTTTATAGCACCGGATGTGTGTGAGTGTGTGTGAGAGAGAGGTTTTTGTTTCTTATTAAATGTTCGTTATGTTGGAGCAAGTGTTGCTGTCGTCATTCCACACACACATGCCTCGACTCTGAGATAGGGTGACCACCCGTCCCGCGTAGCGCGTGTGCGCACAGCATTTGAAGCCCAATTCATGCGTCCCGCAAATTGAGATCGTGTCACGCATAATCAATGCTTGCTCAAAAAAAAAAATAAAAGTCGGTCACTCTATATCCTCGAGACCCAGGCAGCCAAACGTTGTGCCTGAACACATTCACGTCCATGAACTCGTTCATATTTTGGGTGAACTGAACGTATTGTTTAACTGCCTGTCCTGATGAACGTGTGAACTCGTTCATTCTGGTGTCTGTGAACGCACGCTCTCTCAGTTTAACTTCGTTCAATGGGGTGCCAGATTTCTATAGAGCCTTCCGGGCGAAAGCCCGGCTAAAACACACCGTAAACAGGGCTCAATATGTAGCGCAAAAACACCCAATCTGGCAACACAAGCCACCAGTGTCGCACAAAGGCGTCGTATTATGATTTAAACGGATTTTATAACGAGGTCGGTGAAGATGGGAAAATCTTACATTTCTGTGCAAACTTTGAACTGAACTAGTTCATTAAAAAATGTGTGAACTGAACTTTGAACTAGTTCATGTAGAAAGTGAACTTCCCCAACACTGGTTGCCACTCCCACGTGACCTGCTGACTAGGTTGATGTCAACTTTTTCATTGTTGTCATGACAGCGCAGCTTCTCGTTCCGTGAACCTCTGGAGTTGTGAGAGTTTAGACTTTTTTTAAAAACTGTTCCTGTGGTGTTGAGCAACTATAATTCTATAGTTTAAATCAATAAAAGTATAAAATTATAATTCTATTAAAGTGAATTAATTGTAATAAAAAATAAATAAAACTAAATAGCTAAAGTAAATCGTAAGTGGAAGTGCATCTGTCAATTCATTGAATGTTCAAAATATTCATTTTTTTCTTTATTTAGAAAAAAATACACATTGGTTGGCCTATTCATGAGCATATATCAGCAATTACACATGTTTAGGGAATAGGGCATTATTAATGGATGTGCTTTTTTTTTTGAATAATTATTCATGTACAAACAGTAAGGCAATAGTAACAATTCTAGATATGGGTAAACCACTATCAGAGTCTGCTCGTGGTGTCCGTGACAGTGTCCCACATTGTCCCTCAGAAACATACCCCTTGTCCCCCCTTGGGCTTATTAGCAGGTGGTCACCCTACTCTGAGATCGAGATGCAGGAGGGGGGCGAGATCTGCTTTCTGGGAGTCTGGCGTGGGTCACAAGAGTTTAACACACAGTACACACAGCTGATGATGTGTGAGGGGGAAACAAGTGTCAGCTTTGGCTCAGTGTGCTTTTAATATATATGTGTGTGTGGTGAAATCACTGTAACAGAACACACACATGAGCAGTTCACGGGTCACGTGATCTCCAAGCCTCGTGTTCAGTGAAGCAGTCGTGTGTGTATCAGCACTGGCAGGGCTTCTTCTCGTCGGCTGATGCTGAGGTCAGGCTGACGGTGTGTGAGTTACTCCGCAGCATTACGGCGTGTGTGTGGTCGTCTGTGACGCTGGTGTCGTTCTGCATCAGCAGCCGGCGAGCCATGATGACGAAGGCCTCCTCCACGCTCCAGGCGTCTCTCGCCGACGTCTCCACCGCCGCTAGCAGGCCCTTCTCCTCCGCTAGCCTACACGCCTCCTCGAACTGCACCTCGCGCTCCGCCTCCAGGTCTCGCTTGTTACCTGAGGAAACACACGTTTAGACCGAGCGGCTCTCTCGTGAATCCGACACTGAAGGGATTAAACTGCAGTTCCTCCACTGGCCACTAGAGGCCGGCTGCAGAAGAGATAGACCCCCATGTTATAACGGCCAACTTTACAGCGGAAAAAAACATGTTTACAGTCTGGTGCTAAAAGTGTTTTTGGTCTATCTAGCTAATTTGGCCCTTCATGACGAGTGTGAGGGAGTGAACTGTTTTTATAACTCATCATTTAATTTATATTAAGCCTTACATTTCTGCATAATTAAGGGTGTGGCCACTTGAGTGACAGGTGGATTGCAGCTGATGTCACTAGTAGTTGTTTCTTTGCTGTATGTTAGCATCACATCACCTCGGCTTGGTTGAGTTACAGTGTTCACCGTGTGGAGGATTAGCGTTCAGTCGTACCGGTGAGCACATTAGCGTCTCCGTTCAATGACTGATCGTGTGGAGTACTAGCGTTCAGTCATGCCAATGAGCCCGTTAGTGGCTCCTTTCAATCACTTTTAGCGTGCAGCGTACGGTAGACTAGTGTTCAGTTATACCGATGTGTGCGGTGAGCATGTTAGCGACTTAGCGTTCAGCGTGTGGAGGACTAGCGTTCAGTTGTACCGGTGAGTACGTTAGCAGCTCTGTTTAGTGACTGAGTGTTCACCGTGTGGAGGATAAGTGTTCAGTCGTACCGATTAGCGCGGTAAGCACGTTAGCAGCCCCGAACTGCTTTAGCTCTTGGATCCAGCGCGGCAGCGAGGCAAAGGTGTCCCGGCGGCTGATGTCGTAGGCGATCATGGCTCCATGTGCGCTGCGGTAGTAGCTCTGCGTGATATTGCGGAAGCGTTCCTGTCCCGCCGTGTCCCACACTTGTATCTGCACACACACACACACACACAAACACACAGAGAGAGAGAGAGAGAGAGAAAGAGTCAGTGCACAAGGTTCACTGATCATGGGTACTCCTCTGACAGAGAGCCATGGAAACCAAACACACCTGCGGCGCTGAACAACACTGGCTCACTGCATACTGAACTATAAACATCACATACTAAACAGAGCACACTGAACACTGTGCATGACATACTGAACACTACATACTGAATACTACATACTGAATACTACATGACATACTGAACACTACATACTGAACACTACATGACATACTGAACACTAAATTTTGAACACTTTACATTACATACTGAACACTTTACATGACATACTGAACACTACATACTGAATACTACATGACATACTGAACACTACATACTGAACACTTTACATGACATACTGAACACTACATACTGAATACTACATGACATACTGAACACTAAATTTTGAACACTTTACATTACATACTGAACACTTTACATGACATACTGAACACTAAATTTTGAACACTTTACATTACATACTGAACACTACATGACATACTGAACACTACATACTGAACACTACATGACATACTGAACACTACATACTGAACACTACATGACATACTGAACACTAAATTTTGAACACTTTACATTACATACTGAACACTTTACATGACATACTGAACACTACATACTGAACACTACATGACATACTGAACACTACATACTGAACACTACATGACATACTGAACACTACATACTGAACACTACATGACATACTGAACACTACATACTGAACACTACATGACATACTGAACACTACATACTGAACTCTTTACATGACATACTGAACACTACATGACATAATGCATACTGTACACTACATTCTTCCTCATGAACGTTGTATACGGCCTAATACTGTAATAAACTACATGGCAGAACACTACACACTGCAGAACACTAAACTGCATACTGCCTACTGTACGCTGCACTACAGTACTGCTTACTGAACACTGTATACTATGTATACTACCTAGTGAACACTACTATATTCTGCCTTCTTTTAGTGTATACTGAATATGGTACACCTCTGAACAGCAAATATTACATCTGCACCGTGTACAATACATATTGCATACATACTAGAGTGTGTACATATTCTGCCTAGTGCTCAGTGTATTACAGCACTCTACACTTCATTCAGCCTCCATTACAGCAATAAGAAGTACACAATGTTTAGTAGGCAGTGTGCAGTGTACATTGTGTAGTTTTAAGTAAAGTGGTTAGTAGGCAGTACACAGTATTTTGTCATTTAGTTAATAACAGCAATATTTACTATACACTATAGCACTATACACTACATACCGGAAACTGTACACTACATATTGCAATCTGAAGTGTACACTACATACTGCATACTGGAAACTGTACACTACATATTACAATCTGAAGTGTACACTACATACTGCATACTGGAAACTGTACACTACATATTGCAATCTGAAGTGTACACTACATACTGCATACCGGAAACTGTACACTACATATTGCAATCTGAAGTGTACACTACATACTGCATAACGGACACTGTACACTACATATTGCAATCTGAAGTGTACACTACATACTGCATAACAGAAACTGTACACTATATATTGCAATCTGAAGTGTACACTACATACTGCATACTGGAAACTACACTATATATTGCAATCTGAAGTGTACACTACATACTGCATAACGGACACTGTACACTACATATTGCAATCTGAAGTGTACACTACATACTGCATAATAGAAACTGTACACTACATAATGCAATCTGAAGTGTACACTACATACTGCATACTGGAAACTACACTACATATTGTCTACTGCACAATGTATACTACTTCCTGTCGAGTGTACACAACATTCAGAGATGCACACTAGACACCGTTGAGTGTACATTACATTCTGCAATACACTGGATTGACACACACATATATAAGAGATAAAGCTTCTGGATTCACACACACACACACACACATGTAAGAGATAAAGCCTAGCATGTTTGCGTATGATGCAGGAAGCAGCGGTGTGTTTTCCCCCTCGTGTGCGACTCTAACACACACACTGAGAGGATAAACCTGCTCGACCGGTTGTGCTGGCTGAGCGGCTCAGTGTAACAGCAGGATCATACTGACCAGCGTACACACACACACACACACTCAACTGACTAACATCACGGATACGAGCGGCGGCGTGACCCCTGACCTTCACTCTGCGGCCCTCGATGCGGAGCGTGCGCACGGTGAAGTCCACGCCGATGGTGTTCTGCTGGCGCTCGCTGAAGCGGCCCGTACTGAAGCTCTGCACCAGGCAGGTCTTGCCCACGTTTGAGTCCCCGATCAGGATGATCTTGAAGAGGAAGTCGAAGGAGTCGTCCTGAGGATCCATGGGTCAGGATCCCATAACTCTCTCACACACACACACACACACACACACACGGTGAGAGAGAGAAAGAGGTCTGCCGTCAGTCTCGCTGCTCTGCTGCTGCTCTCACCTTCCTTCTCAAGCCGGTTCCACAGGTGCGACCGCCACCCGCTCAGGTGCATTCTGGGTAACGTAGTGCAGCCACTGCGCATGTTTTACTGGGCCACATTTGCCAGTTTACATTCATTTAATATCCTGGAAAATACAGTCATGGCCTTTCAACAAATATTGATCACTCTCAAACTAAACCTTATATGTTAAAAATCATGAGATGAAACGTCTTTTTCTTTTCTTTTTAATTGTTTAAAAATATTATATAAGTGACCATTTAAAATACGCTCTTAATGTAAATCAAGTTAGTAATTTGATATGACTTTTGTATCTTGAATGACCTCTTGAAACCCCTGCCCTTTTTCAAAATCAATCACACCTGCCCTTCTCAGAGAAATATCAATGATAATATTGAGGTCAATAAAACAAAAGGCTGTTATGAAATTATGCAGGACTTTCCCAGCTGTCTTCTGCTGGATTCATGAGGGCAAATAACCTCACAACAATCAGAGATAGAGAGAGAACATGAGTGTGTGTGTGTGAGAGAGACAGAGAGAACATGAGTGTGTGTGTGTGTGTGTGTGTGCGCATGTGTGTGTTTGTAATACTGAGAGAGAAAAACTGCAAATTCAAATCCAATCACTGTGAGCTCCAGTGGGGTTTTGCTGGCACCCAATGGGGAAAATATGTTACTACGGCCAAACAAACTGTTACCGAAAGCTCATTTTTTGAGATATCATCCTCAAATTTGGAACACAACCTATTTAGATTTATGGCTTTGATTTTATTGCAGTTTTGAGTTCAACCTGATTTATAAAAATATATATTTTATATAAAATATTTTTTATAAATAATTTTCGTAAACTTCTAACTATATAACTTTTTTTGTATTTACTTATTATTATTTTTTTACTTCAGCAATAATCTGCAAAGGGTCTTCTTTAAAATGATACCAAACTTAAGTCTGTGCTCCAAAGCGTCACATTTTTATGACAGTTTTTTGACATGGACATTTTTGTCCTCTTTTTACCTATGAGTAACTTTTTTTAATTGATGCACAAGGGTTAAATCATCTACTGTTTTAACATGTATTTTTAACTTGTTAACTACAATTGTAGCTATTTGCATATTTCTAGCATAAATGGTTTCTGCACCCAAACATTACAGTTTTCCCTGTATAGTTGTATTGAGGATTGAGGAAGTGGCATAGTTGCAATCGTTGTCTGACGTGTGTTATGTGGGTAAGCTAATCACTCAATAAAAAATAGGCTCATGGTACAAATTACGTTTTGTTAGATGAGCTTGCTGAAATATTTCAAAAGAAGGACAGAGGATGGACATGGAGAGGAGAAGAATCAAGAAGAGCTTCAGCAGGTAAGCTAGTCACATAATCAGTTGTTTGTTAGCAAAAAGAAAAATGTTACACTAGGCTACCTATTCACTAAAAAATGGACAGTGTGCCATCCAACAAAGTCCTTTTAGGCAAGTCCTGCCACTCGGCCGCCATCTTGGCAACGCCTCCGGGCAGCTATTTCAGACTAACAAGACCAGGCTCCTATCTAAATGAATGGGCAGAGTCAGAACTGCACTTTCACTGGTCACCAGGATTATTTTAGCTGCGCGTTCACAGTATCTAATAGAATGTCAAAGTATAGTACCCATATAAGTATAGTCTGGCTATGTGTAAACCCACTTCTAGCCTAAATAACATGGCATTTTTTACAAAATAACTTGCGAGATGTAAGATATTCCATCATGTTAGCAAAGTCAACTGTAATTAAAGCTGCAAGCAGCGATGGGCGGGCCCTCACACCTGTAGCACGTTGGGGTGTGAGGCGGCCGCATTGCATATTCTGGAGCTCAGCCGGTGCAGCTGTGAAATTGCTGCACATCCAAATCACCCAAAAATTTACGTAAAATTCAAAATGGTCACTTCCTGTTCCCAGCAGGTGGCGCTTTGACTGTGGTCTAATTTTGGCATGTGCATGTGTTCAGGGCAAGACTGTTGTATAACGTATAAAATTTCGCTCAGGTCTGAGGATGTACACTGAAGTTACAACAACTTCCTGTTTCATGGCGAATCAGACGCCACGGACACGCCCACCGACGAAAACACGCAGATAGCACAACTTTACATCGTCAATGCCTTTAGAAGGCACAGCAGAAATTTGAAGTCGATCCAACAAAATCCTTAGGAGGAGTTAGTTAAAGTACGTAATGAGTAAATAATCCAAAAATGGTGGTAAAACTAGAATGGGCCGACTTCCTGTTGAGTTTAGGGCATCGCTCCAAGAGACTTTTCTGTGCGTCTGGACATGGTATATGTACCACAGAAATTTTGTACATGTCGGTCAAACATGCGGCGGGGGCTGCTTTGTTAAACGTCACTTCCTGTTGCCAGCAGGTGGCGCTATGACTGTGGGTGAATGTCGGAATGTAGATTTGTTCAGGGCGGTACTCTTGTCAAATGTGTAAAATTTCGTGCAGATCTGGGCATTTACAGCCAAGTTACTACAACTTCCTGTTTCATGGCGAATCATCGATGCCACGGACACGCCCATCGACGAAAACACACAGATAGCACAACTTTACATCGTCAATGCCTTTAGAAGGCACAGCAGAAATTTGAAATTTGAATCGCGGACTTCCTGTCAAGTTTAAGGTATGGGTTCTTGAGGCTTTTTTGTGCGTCTTGATATGATACACGTCCCCACCAAATTCCGTGCATGTAGGTTGAACGTGGACGAGGGGCTAATTTTTTCCAATTTTCTAGGTGGCGCTAGCGAGCCATTTTGTCACGCCCATCCGCGAAACCCACAAAATACGAAATTTTTCACCAGTCCTGACAGGCGTGCCAAATTTGGTGAGTTTTTGAGCATGTTGCGGCCCCGAAAATGGCACTTACTTTGCAGAAAAAAGAAAAAATAAATAAATAAAGAAAAAAATAAATAATAATAATCCCAACAGTTTCAATAGGGCCTCGCACAGTTAGAGCTCGGGCCCTAAAAAAAAAAAAAGAATCCCAACAGTTTCAATAGGGCCTCGCACAGTTAGTGCTCGGTCCCTAAAAATAACCCTAACAGTTTCAATAGGGTCCTCGCTCTATTAGTGCTCGGGCCCTAAAAATAATCCCAACAGTTTCAATAGGGCCTCGCCCTTTCAGGGCTTGGGCCCTAATAAGCTTTTATAATAGATTTATTAGCTTAGAGAGGGAACATTGGCATGCAAGCTTTCAGTTAATTGCAACAAGAAAGATGACGTTACTCAGCATATAAAATGGGCATCATTCATGAAGCTTTTGTAAATAAATTCAGAGCAATTTACATGTAAACTGTCCCAAAAACTCAAAATTAATTCACACTCACACATTTTATCTGATGTAATTTGTGTTTGTTAATGAATTTCAATTGTTCTATTCATAAACAGGGTGCCCATACAAGCTTATTCAAAATCAGCAAATTCCCCATTAATGAATTAGTACAATAACAGGAATTATGTGTTCCAGCTCTTCTCAGGTTTGGCTTCAGGATGCAGAAATGATTCAAGTAAAGTGTTAAATATAATACAAATACTATTCCAAAGTATACTAGTAATAAAAAAGTAAACAGACTTGCTTGTTCATAACGGGATTTTCTTTGTACATTTAAATAATTACCGTAATTCCTCAAATAAAAACCGGGCCTCTGATAGTGGTCAACGCGGACAAATAAAGGCCGGTATCAAATTAAGGCTGGGGGAAATTAGTGTGGATAATCTCCTGAATGCCTTTCATTGAAGAGATGTTACACATGTCCACTACATGCGTGTTCTGTGATCTGATCGTGAAAATACCAGGTATAAATGCCATCCGAAGCGCATTCAAGACGATTTAAATCCGATCGCTCAAACCACTTCATCTGAGATCTGAGACGAGATTCTAGACGAAACTGCATAGCCTAAGTGTAAATCAAATGCATCTGATTGTTGAAACCACCTATCTAAATTTTACTCCTCCCAAAAACGCTAAAATATAAAAGTGTGAGAGCTTGTGTAATATAGGCTGTAATGTTATAGCAAGATGTGACAACGCAACTGCAACACGCATCACGGAAGCTGAGCATCTATTCATAAAGCCAACGTGCAACCTATTGCAAATTAAAGTGAAAGTAAGTCGCAGACAATACTCCTTATCATTAAAGTAAAGAAACGAAATGATCTTACCAGGGCTGAACCACTCTCTCTCATTGCAGTCTTTTGATTTTGAAATGAGCTGATCTATCAAATGCAGCAGCTCATATATGTTGCTTTCGGTGACGTGAACTCCATTAAATCTGCATATAGCGCGATTTATATCCGTTTTACGAAAACGCATTTGTGAACAGATTTAAGTAGAATTGTTTTGATAAATCAGATAGCTTTCCAATCTGAGAAAACGCAAGAAGTGGCCAGGTGTAAACAGCCCATAATGTAAACGAACCTGACAGTCAAGCGGGTCTGGAGGCTTGAGGGTGGGTCTGCCACGGACTCCTTTGCTGTGTGGGGTGCATTCAAGTTCATCGTAACGTACAGCCAATGGATGGTAGAAATAGATGCAACACAGATATAATTTAGTGCTGCTAGTATAACTGTCTTTTCAACAACTTTATTGAAAACGAAATTGTCTTGAGGAGCATGGAACCCAGACGGAAATTTGATTTAGCCTTTTTTTTTTAAATAAAGGCCTGCCTCTAATAAAAGCCTGCTTCAAATAAAAGCCTGGTCCTTTCTGCAGTTTAGGTAAATAAAGGCCCCGGCTTTTATTAGAGAAATTATGGTAGTTACATTTTTATTTTAATTTTTATGTATATTCCAAATAAGGCAATTTTGGGAAGATTGAAACTGCCGCTGCATAAGTAGCCACTCACCTCGAGGCAGCATCAGTTATTTCACTATCTCTCCATTGGCACAATTACAGCAGCATAATTTCTTGCCATCCATACTTGGCTTACAAGCTTATTTACATTTTAAAAATACAAAAAAATTAACAAAACTGAATATATATTATTGATTGTATACTTCATGAATGGGACCAATGATCAGTGTGAATGTTAATTTATTTTAAATTCAACAAGCAAAATGCCATATTGTTTCAGTTTGATACCAATTTCTTTTCTTTTTTGTGATGTGAACTATTATGATAAGCTGTCTGATTTTTGCATGTTTTGTTTTCATATGTATTAATCACGCTTTAGATCATCAAACATGATT